CCCCCCCCCTCCTTTCTTTTGACCATGACACCCGCCCGGTTGTTTGCTGTTATTCTGGGCCGAAAACCACCTTGGCTGCACTTGAAAGAAAGCGTTGTGTAAATGAAGAAAAACTCAAAAGAGGGAATATTCTAAAATGGTTGTTAAAAGAGAAGCTGTGACCTATTGGCGGGGTGGGGGGGGTAACCAGAGGAGGAAATTCTATTCGGGCTTTTCCAGGTCAAATTATTCTAGCAACGTCATAGCTTGAATCTGGCGCAAATGTGTGGCGCACCACACGGTGCTCAGAAGAGAGAAACCTCTGCTCTCGCTTCCCTCGTTCATCTTTGGGTCGGGCAAGAGCAGATCCTAAAAAAAAAAAAAAGGGGGGGGGCATTTGGGGTTATCAAAGGCAGAACCTCTGTGGAGATTCCCAATCAGCCCAAAGGTCACGGCTGTCCCAAGGGTGCTTTTCAAAAGGCAACAGGGATTTCCTGGCCTTTTCTTTTAAATCGCTTCGCTTCTCATCCCAGAACTGAAGAAGCTTCAAGGAGAAACAAAGAACTCCAGTGGCTTTTTTGAAAAGCACCTTTAGGGCAAAGGCAGAAACCCACTTCTGAGTCGGGGGCCGGGGGGGAGGCGGGGGGGGATTGCTAAGTGGCACCGGATGATTCCTGATACGCCAAGCGGTGACGTGGGCGCAGTGGCAGGGCACGTGGCGGCTGATCCGTGGCACAAACCCCCCCCAGACTTTCCACCAGCAGCAGTCTGAAATAACTGGAAATGCCACCACTTTTTTATATATATACAGGTGTGTGTATATACATATGCAAATTTTATTAAAAAGTTATGGCCTCCTGCTAACAGGAGAGAGGAGATCTCTACATAACCAAACCATCAAAGAACAGAACATCGATCTCTGCTGAGAACCATTTGGAAAAGGAACTGGCATCTGAGGTCCCCCAAAACCTAACTTGCAAATTCTACAACATTAAATCAAAGTGTGTGGGGAGGAGGGGGGGGGTGTCACAGGCCAAAAGACAGCCAGAAAAACTCTCCGACCCTCCGGGAGAAAGACAGGCCGAGTCCCGCCGCAGCCACACGTTCGGATCAGCCCTCGAGCACACTGCCCCCTTCGCAAGCTCTGGACCGCTCCCCGTTGCTCGGGAGAGCGTACCCCTTCTTGGCCCCCCTCCCAACTGAAGAGGCAGGAGCGGGCCGTGAGGGGGGTCCAGCGGCACAGGCTGCCTGAGCCAAGGGGGTAGGACCTCGCTGCCTTCCCCAGCCCCAGTCTGCCCGGGGTGGAAGGGGAGAGACATGCACCATCCAGAACATTCAGCAGCAGGCAGCCAGAAGCCCACTGGGCATCAGTAATGCCGCTGGTAGGAGCCCATGCCCTGCTGGGCTGGGGGCACTGCCCGGCCCTGGCCCACTGTCTGGTTCACCAGGTGGGAGAGGGCGGGGCCGCTCTGGATCAGGGTATCCAAGGCCTTCTGCACGCTGGGGTTGTCGAAGTTGATCCCCAGAGACAGTGGCGGTCGTGCGGCGGCCGCGCTATTGGGCGCAGAGGGCCGGTTCTGGTAAAGGGGCTGGGACGGCGGTGGGGGAGCCGAAGCCCGGGGACCGGAGACCCTGGCGGAACCCGGGTGGTTGGGGAACTGGGCAGCCTGGGATGGCGCTCGCTGCTGCGACTGGGAGGCACCAGTCGTGCCCAGCTGGGGGCCCCGGCCAGGCGTGCTGGGCCCGGAGCCAAACCCTGGATTCGGAGACACCCCCACGCCCGGGCCGCCGCTGGACACGTTCACTGCACCGGTGGCCACCCCGCTGTTGAAGAGGCTGAGGATCTTGGCCTGCAGCTCCTGCTGAGGGTTGGAGGGCCCGGTGGCTGCGGCAGAGGCTGGCAGAGGCTGGCCGCTCTGGTGCCCCTGGGAAGTGGGCACCAAGGCTCCTGACGCAGCTCCCATCGTCTGCCTGCCCGGAAGTGAAGCTGTGAGGAGGGAAGCCGGCCAGCTGTGAGTCCTGCCCCACCGCCTTCTGGGTATCAACTGCTCCTCCCCCTAGTATCCTGGGGCGGCGGCACAAAGGGGCCGGGCTCCCTCCTCAGCTAGGACTTACCGGGAAGGGACTCGGCGGCGGCACGTAGCTGCCGTTCCTTGCGCTCCCGCAGGTAGTTGATGATCTTGTCCGTCTCCTCCCCGGTCAGGTAGCGGTTGTCCGCCAGCAGGTTCAGGAGGGCCTGCATGGCTGGGGGGTGGGCCCCACGGAGACTCTCCTCAGCCGGCAGGGGGCGCTCCCGCTCCTGCAGGATGGTCTCATCGGCCATCTTGGCCGCCCGCCTGGCAATCTCCTCCCGCTCCTTCTCGCGGACCTCGGACTTGTAGCGCTCGTAGTTCTTGGCCACCAGCACCATGGCGTCCGCCTGGGGCATGTTCCGGTGCTCTGTGCGGGAGGAGGAGGAGGAGGAGGAGCGGCAGGCGGTGAGTCGCCCTGGCGTCCAATTTGCCACGGGCAGCTTACAATTAAAAGGAAACTAAAACACCGCAGATCCTGCCCGTTCTGAAGAAAACTAATCTGTATCAAACTGGAGGAGAAACCCGGGCAGAGCCTGGGACACAAACGCCCCCCCCCCCCAGTTTTCATGGCGTTGCAAACGGGCAAGTGAGGCAGGGGGCAGACAACCACCTGCTGGGCTTCACAAAACAACAAACCTGGGGGGAAGGGGAGGAGATTTAAGTCCACCTGGGGTCCTCCTGAAAAGGCTGCTGCAGGGAGGGAAGGAGGGCACCAAGTGGGACTGGGGCACAAAGAGCCCGACTCCCACTGTGGCAGAGTGAACGCCAGGAGTGCCTCCCTCACAGAGTGGATCAGGGAGCCCCAAAGTGACGCTGCGGAAGCGGCCGGATCGAGTGGAATGGCTTACGGTCAGCGCCCCCCCCCCCACTTATGCTGAGGGCTTTTGTGTTTTTCACCTCTCTGAATGCCTGACTGATCTTTGCCGGGGGTCTTCTGGCCAAGATCCCTGAGTCAGTCTTCCTCCTCAAATTTTGCAACAAAATTTTTTTTCTAAATTAAGCAGCTGAATGACCTGATTTTGGCTCCAATTCTGAGGACTATGAAGGGTGGGATCCGCTCGGGATCCGCAGGCAAAGAGTGCCAAAGATGGCACAACTCATGCAGCACCTTTCTGCCAAACACAAACCGCAACTCACACATGCCGGGCAGGTTGCGTGAGGCCAACTGTGCTCTGCTTAATCAAACCCCTGAACCGGTCGTTAATAGCCACAGGGCCGATGGAGGAGCCCCCTACCTTGCGGGGTGCCGAACATGATGTTGACGGTGCAGGAGTGGTGGACCTGGTGCTGGGGGGTGATGACTATGGCGAAGGCAGAGCCTCCCTGGCTCACGTCGTCCAGGGCTTGCTGCAAAGACATCTCCGAGTTGAGGAAGATGAGGTCCACCATCATGCCCAGGTCGCGTACCTTGCGCCCCACCGACTCGGCGTAATCCCTGCACCAGGCAGAAGCCCAGAAAACAGCGTCTACCCAGGGCGTCCGACCACCGGAATCCTCCCCCTGAATCCGGGAAAGGGCCCCCCAGCCCCCCCCCCGTACTTGGTCTGCTTGTTGACCACGATGACGGAGCAATCCACTGGCCGCTCGGTGTCTATGCGCTTCTTGATGTCCTCAAAGAACTGCCGGTAAAGCTCCTCCCGGCGCCTCTCCTCTCTCTTCATGCGCTCTGCAGGGAAGGTCACCAGCATGAGGGCCGGCCCTCGCCTCCCCCCAACCCCCCCGCCCATCTGCAGCCGGGCAGGGCCTGACCTTCGGTGCTCAGGGTGGGTCTGTCCATGGTGGGTCTGTCCATGGTGGGTCTGTCCATGGTGGGTCTGTCCATGGTTGGCCTGTCCATGGTGGGCCTGTCCAGGTTGGGCCTGTCCAGGGGCTCCCCGAAGCGGTCGTAAGAGGGCTCCTCCCGCCTGCGGTAATAGTCGTCCGGACGGTCGTAGCGGTCGTAGCCTTCCTCTCTCCTGCAGAGGCACCAGTAGCAACAGTCAGTGAGCCAGGTGGGGGCCTGACCCGCCCCCAGCAGCCCACCTCCCTCTGCGCCTACCTGTACGGGGTCTCTCTGGTCTCCCTGTAGCGGTCGTAGAGAGGGTCCCGGGAATCTCGCATGTCCCGGGAATCCCTCACGTCCCGGGAATCTCTGGGGTCTCGGTGATCTCTGCCCCCCCGCATCTCTCGCCCCCGAAGGTCCCGTCCGTCCCGGGAATCTCGGCCGTTCCTGCCATCTCTGCGTGGGCTGCCCTGGTTGGGAGAGCGATCCCTCCGTGCATCTCTCTCGCCGTAAGGGATGGGCTCCCTGCCAGAAGGACCGGGAAAAGTCCTTAAGAGGGAAGGGGTCAGGGGAGTGAACCAGACCGTTGTCCGTGGACCCCTACCCAAACCAAAGTCTAGCAAGGCCGCCACATGATCTTGGCCTCCCTCTGGGGCATGGCCCAGCGCTCGTCTCCAGAGCCAGCAAGCAGTGCAAGGCAAACGAAGGAAGGTTCCTAAGGCAGGAAAGAGGTCTGGAAGCCGCCTTCAGCCCTATGGGTCCTTCCCTTCCCTGCCAGACCCCAAACATTAAGAGCGTCTTGCTCCAAAAGGAGCCTGGGGTGAGCAGCCCAGGAGGTTGACTCAGCCTCTGGACCTGCTGTAGACTTCAGCAGGATCCACCTTGGACTCAAAGTAAGTTGATGGGGCCACCAAAGCCAATGGCTGGTGGAAACTGAGAATCCTGGGGAGAGGAGGTGGGAAACACCCACCCCCAGCCTGGAGCAACTCCCCACTTAGAACGGGCCACGGTCACACTTCCTTGGAGCCACGACACGGCCCTGCTTTGGACAAGAGTGGGCCAAACTCCCCAGAGACAGGCAGGGAGACCCGATCTTCCAGAAGGGCCAGAAAAGTCAAGGAAACCCACCCACCAAAGCATCGGCACTACGGGACCCCTGGCTGCAGCTGCCTCTCTACCAGCAGCATCGAGAGCAGCTGGAAGTGTTTCCCTGCCCTGCTGCGCAGCAACACGCAGAGAATTCAGGAGACGTGGAACAACTGCACTTTAATATGTAGATATCCCCCCGCCAAAAGCTCAGTACCGATTCAGGACAATATACTTAGGGACTCTTTGCCTTCGCATAAATAAAACCTTAAACTGATTTCGCAAAGTCCAAATGAACAGCCCGTTTCCGGGGGATACAAGAAGGGCCAGAGACTCAGAAAGGATGCCCAAAGTCTGCTTAAAGAAGAGCCAGGCAAATTTGGGACAGGACAGCAGCAGGCAGAACCATGAAGAGAAGTTGGGGTGATGCCCCCCGCTGCGCTCGGCAGACGTAGGCAGGCGACGGGAGGTCCGGAAGGACTCCAACCGGATGTCCCCAACACTGTTGCTTTCTTCCCACCGGCAGCAGGGGCAATGCAATGCCCAGGCGCCCGCATGCGCACCGCCCGCAGCCTTCAGGCAAGGCGAGGCTCAGGCACCCGCGTGCGCGCTGCCCACCAGCATCAGGAGCAATGCTTGGGCACATGCGTGTGCTTTGACCCAGGGTCCCTCGGCACGTCCCAGCTCCTGCCCTGGCAGGGCAGGTCTTCAGGTCAGAGGCTGAGCACAGTTCTGTGCTGATGCCAAAAGAAGCACCCATAGGTGGTGGGCACAACGCAGATGGAGTGCCAAGGGAGGACCGAAGAATCCTCTGCCAAAGGAGATCCCGCGTCCATCTTCGGGGCAACGTGGTGGCAAACAAGGGCCGCCTCCATAAGGGGAGCTGCTCCCCTGAGGTCTCTGCCCTCAACGCAACCCCCACGGCCCGGGGTGGAGCCACTCCGAGGCGCTCCCCAGGGACGCCCCGGAGTCGGAACGAGAGGCAGGCTCTCCTCCCTCACCCGAGCACCCGGGAAGTTCGCCAGGGCTGGGAGTCCGGCTGGATTCCCCCGGGAGAGGCTCCACCGCTGAGGCACCCGGGAGGCAGCGCCGCTGAGCCAGGCAACTGGTTGCTTCAGAGTACTTTACCTTCGCGATGGGCTGGACCTTGAGGGAAGCTTATTCATTTCTCTTCTTTCCGCTGCTTTATTAATATCTGAAAAGAATAATCAACCCATCTGTTCAATGCTATGAAACAAAGAAAAGATCGTCAATATATTGAAAAGAAAGCAACAAACGTGAAGCCAGGAAATCCACGCCAGGAGCCAACGAGCATCAAGAAAACCTTTATTTACATCCAGGATCGGGCAGACGGAGACGGCCGGGGCTCTCCTGCCCACAACACAGCTCAGCCCCTCACCCGCCAGGGCGACGCGCGAGTGGCTTCAGCACGCAAAGGACCCAGCGACCCTGTGACGAACTCAACGCGGCCCCTGCAAGTGGGCAAAACGGGCGGGAAAGGCTCCTTCCCTAGTGGACCCCAGCCGTCAAGCCTGCCTCAATTAACTGTACAAATCTGAACGCATAAACCAGTGTTTTTCAACCTTGGAAACTTTAAGATGGGTGGACTTCAACTCCCAGAATTCCCCAGCCAGCTTTGCTGGCTGGGGAATTCTGGGAATTGAAGTCCACCCATCTTAAAGTTTCCAAGGTTGAAAAACACTGGCATAAACAAACCAAGGGCACTGGGAGGATTCCTCCCTCCCTTCCTTTTTTCCTTTCTTTCTTTCAACAGGCGTTTCCAGAGACGCAAAAAAACAATTGCAAGGAGGGCTGCTTTTGAAGTGACAGAGAAGGAAGAAAGGGGGGAACTCTTCCCCCCCCCCCCGGTGGCTTCTCAGGTAGGACCTGCCTCCATAGGTCTCAGGAAATATGGCTACCCCACCCCACCCCAGTGGACACTTCACTCCTGCTCAAACATGCTTGGAGAGGTAGGTTCTCCTATTGGGGTGCAACTGTTGGCCCCCTCCTGGCCCCAGAGCCCTCCCCAGGTGGAAGGCCTGCCAGTTCGTCATACGGCATTAGGCACAAATGCTTCTTCAGAATGGGGAGAGGCAGCAGAAGGGGGCAGAGACCCCAACACGCGCAGAAACCGCCGAGGCACACCCAGCTCCCTCCCAAGCCTTGAGAGACGGCCCCGCTCTCTCCTTTGGGTGCCCTTACTCCACGCCCGGAAGGTCCCACCAGGCTCTGCCGAGGCTCCTCAGGGCCACCCACAGCATTTCTTCCACCCACTGGAGCGGGGAGGCTTTCGCAGGGCTGCCCCACTGCCTCCGAAGGGCTTCCCGCTTCCCTCACAGGGCAGGGACCCAATCACAGCTCTGCTGGGTCATCGGCCGGCAGAGGCGGGCGGGCGGGACGTGCCGCCATTAAGCCATTTCCCTGACGAAATAAAAGCAGCCGTCAATTTTAGGAATAGCACTTCAGACTTACATACCACTCCGTAGTGCTTTGTACAGCCCTCTCTGGGCTGTCTACAGTGTCAGCCTAGGGCCCCCCAACAATCTGCGCCCTCATTTTACCGACCTCGGAAGGATGGAAGGCTGAGTCAACCTCGAGCCCGTCAGGATCGAACTCCCAGCTGCGGGCGGAGTCAGCCAGCAATACCACGCTCTAACCACTGCGCCACCACCACAGCTCTTACATTTTAGCCATTACAGCTTTTCATCACGGGAAAAATAGTAAATATTAGGGAAAAAAATGTATTTACGAGCACCAATATTACAACTTTTGTGACTCTGAATACTGGAAGGACACGGCCAGGCTTGGACGCTAAACAGGGCTAAGATTCCTGGCCTTTGGGCCTGGGAAGGGTGGACAAAAGCCTCTGCCTTCCATACTCACCCGGGGAGCTCCCGGGCACCTGGCTCTCTGCCAGAGACACCCAGGGCAGGAGGGGGGGCACACACAGCACCCCAGCAGGGAGCCAAGGGTTGGAGAGCCACCAGTGAGGCTGGTGGCCATGCAAATCCCTCCACCCATCATCCTGAGCGCAGGGCTCCCTGACCAAGGGAGCGAACGTGGTGGCCACTTTGCTTTAGGGTTGGGGCTCTGGGGGCAGAAGGCGGCACAGAGGGGGGGGGGAAGGTTGGGGAAGAGGGCAAAGAAAGCTCTGCTGGGAGGCAGGCAGGGGGTGGGCCCCTCCCTCCCAAGGAGACCCCTTTCCCCAGCAGGGGGTCAGGTCGGCAGAGGCCTTGGTCAAGCCCACATCTGATCTTTGTACCCCGCCCTGAGTCCTATGAGGAGAAGGGCGGGGTACAAATTAAATTATTATTATTATTATTCCCTCGCCCGAGGTCTTTCTGTGGGCGAGGGGGGACCTTTCTGTGGGCGAGGCACGAGACCAGAGACTTTATTTTGCAAAGGGGGGGGCTAATTCTGGAAGCCAAGCTCTCCCACTGTCCTGCCCCCCCTCCCTCCCCCCTGCCAAGGCTGCCCCACCCTGTCCCTGGGCTGTCAGCAGAGACTTTGTCACCTGCACTGCTGGGACTCTGGTCTGCTTTCCTTTGGGGAGGGAGGGAGGGAGGGGGGTGTCTGCACAGCCCGGAGGTTCATGGACATATGACACCCCCCCAGGCTCCCCTGAGCCCCTGGGGCTACTCCCACTCCCCCGAAGGCTACCTGCACACCTGGGCTTTGCTTCTCAAAGCATGGGGGGGGGGAGAAGGAGGCCCTTGACCACTGCAAAGCTGACTGTGCTGGCAGCCTCTACAAAGAGGAGCCGACTCAGCCGGGGCATTCCGGGGGCCTAGCGGATTTTTCTTCAAAGATTGGACGGCCACTTGTCTGAAATGGTATAGGGTCTCCTGCTTGAGTAGGGGGTTGGACTAGAAGACCACCGAGGTCCCTTCCAGCTCTGTTATTCTGACTGAAATTGATTGAGAGTTAGAAGATAAAGAGCTGAAAGCGATCTTGGGGGTCATCCCATCCCCGTCCAAGAGGAAGCACAGCAAGGGTCAGTGGAAGCTGCCCATCCCCCACTCCCCCCAGCCTCAGTGCCCCCTGGAATTACAGCAGACCTCCACATCCCCTGGCAACGGCCGCCTTCCCTCCGGGGCCTCCACCGTCCCCACCGCCTTCCGGCTCCATTCCGCTCCTGCTGGATCCACCCAGGCGCAACCGATCGAAGTTGGGCCTGGCTGGGGCTTCCTGGCCCACCGCAAGAAGCAGAAGCCAGCCAGGGAGCAGCTTCAGATGTGGCACAAAGGGGCTTCTCGGCACGGAGGGCCGGGCTGGGCACGCCTCCTCACCAGTGGGGGCAAGAGGTCAGCCGGGGCGGTGGTGGAGCAGAGGGCGGGCAGGGGTCTCGGAGCCCTGGGGGTCCGGGATTGGTTCAGGCAGCTACAGTTTTCCAGAGCATTGCAAGCAGCCTGGGGCGGTTCTGTGGCAGTGCAGCGGGGGGGGGGCATAAGGAGGCTGGAGGCTCTGAGGGCCCAAGCCCGGAGGGGGTCTGGATTGGGATAGGTGCTCGCTTAACGACCTACGGTTCTCAGTTAACAACCGCAATGGGGAATGCTGGGACTTGGTGTGGACATATGGCATCTCATTTAGGACTGCACTGATTTGCAATGGCCATCTCAGTCTCAACTGTAGTCATAAGTGGAGGAATTTTTTCCCTTCAGAGGGAGAAAGGTTTCCAGCTGTAGAGCTCCTTCTGAAGAACCAGCAGAGTTCAGCACCTGCGGCCTTACACAGACACAGACACCCGAAGGGGTGTGTGGATCCAAGTGATGATGTGAATCTGCTAGCAACCGCTGGAGAATCCCTGGGTCTCAGACCCTCCCACCCCTCGTGACCGTGGAGGATGGAAGGGAGGGAGGGAGAGCAGTGTGGGCACTGCCCTCCCTGTTCTTAGCTCTGGGGGCGGGGAAAGTGTGCAGGAAATAGGAAAGAAATATGCTTCCTGGCCTCCTTCCTTGAAGCAAAGTGCATTCAGGTGAGAGAGATAAAGATTATAGTGAACACTGACTGGGACCCAACCCTCTTCCTTCTAACGGGTTCAGGTAGACGTTTAGTCTAAATTGCTACCTAGCAACCTGCACCGCTAGACAGACTGGACTATTACTGTTTCCTCTTCCGTGGAAGATGATTTTGGAAGACTCGATTCTCCTCACACAGGAAGGTCTTCCTTTAAAGTTTCCAGAACGATTCCAGCTTGCTGACAGGGAATCACTTTTCATCTTGAACACTTTGCACATGTTGCTCGCTGGCTATGCTGAGCGGCACCAGTTCCAACACAGGGGGCTTGAACGACGGCTTGGGCCTCTCGTAAGCATCTCCTTTCTTGTTCTTCCGTTTCTGCTTCTTGGTTGCAGATCTAGTTTATAGCGTGCTTTGCCAAATTCTACAGAACTTCAAAATACACAGGATCCAATCTACTGAGTGACTTTAGGTTTTTCTTCAGTCTCAGCATTTGGGTTGCAAACCTTTGCTTGTTAGGAATTGTATTCCGTTCTCAGAGGCCCGGCTTTGCTAGCGCCGCCCGCCCGTTTCGCTGGACCCCAGCTCCGCCTCCCAAACTCTGGGCAGAGGATCCAAGAGGTAGCCCAGGCCTCATCTGGCAGTCAATCAATCAATCAGAATAGAGCTGGGAGGGACCTTGGAGGTCTTCTAATCCAGCCCCCCGCTCAAGCAGGAGACCCTATATCAGTGATGGCGAACCTTTTAGAGACCGAGTGCCCAAACTGCAACCCCAAACCCACTTATGCATCGTCGAGTGCCGGGTGGGTGGTAACGGCAGACTGGGTGGGAGTAAAAAGTTCAATCAATCAATTCCAACTTTGCAAGATCTTTTTTTTCCCGAGAGGTTGAAATTGATTGATTGATCGAATCTTTTTCTTTTTGCACACTGTGGTGGAGGCCTAAAGCGAAAAGGTTTTATAAAACCCAGTTGAAGGCCTAGGACTGGGGCGACGGTGGTGTGCCATAGGTTCGCCACCACTGCCCTATATCATTTCAGACAAGTGGCTGTCCAGTCTCTTCTTCAAAACTTCCAGGGATGGAGCACCCACGATTTCTGAAGGCAAAGCTGTTCCACTGGTTGATTGTCTTCACTGTCAGGAAGTTTCTCTATAGTTCCAGGTTGCTTCTTTCCTTCATTAGTTTCCATCCGTTGTTTCTTGTCTTGCCCTCTTTTGCTTCGGAAAATAATTTGACACCCCCCCTCCTCGTGGCAGCCCCTCAAATACTGGAATACTGCTATCATGTCGCCCCTTTTCCTTCTTTTCTCTAGACTGGCCGCCCCTAAATCCTGCAACCCTTTTTCCATATGTTTTAGTCTCCAGGCCTTTGATCACCTTGGTTGCTCTTCTTTGCACAGGCCCCCAGCAGCCATTAGCACCAGCTTCCCCACCTGCCCCCCCCTCCATCGCTGTGGTTTTTCCAGGTGGGTCTGCAGCTTCTTCAGGGCCTCAAGGAGAAGCCACGGGGGGGGGGGACTGATCGTCCCAAGCCCCAGGGGCTAGCTGACCCCGGGCCAATCAAGGTTGGGTCTGGTCGGGCAAGAGGCCACCAGGAAACCCCAGGATCGTACCCGACCTAGTCTGGGAGCGGCTGGAAGGAGAAACGCAAGCCCCACCCTTCCCCCCACGGAGCCCGGCCCGGCGTCTCCTGGTCGTGTTACGGCCGAGGAAAACACGCGGACGCCGCCACGCAGCCCCTTGGAAGCGGCGAAAGGGACCCGGCGACGGAGCCGCAGCTTTAAGAGACGCCGACGCCACGGAGGGAGGGGGGGGGGAAGAGGCCGCCGCGCAGAAGACCCCCCCCGCCCCCGACCCCCAGCCCCGACGGACACGGCTCGGGGGAGGCGGGAGAAGGGGGCCGCCCCCTCCCAGAGGCACCCCC